CCCCCCCCCCCGCATTTTAGTCCATAAACATTTCTCCAACAAAGTTATTCAAATTAGTCTTTAAAGATACTTACTTATTGCACTGTGGGAACCTAGTCAACAACTTCTCCAGGATCTTCTCCAGTTTGTCTACTGGTTGGGGCCGGGAACTTTCAGTAGAAGCCTTAACACCGCCCAAGCCTGGGGGAGGCGGGATGGAGGCGGCAGGGGGCATGTGTGGACCGTGGGGGCTGACAAGGGAACCCAAGCCAGGGCTATTTCTCCCATGGGATCCGGGAAGGGGCGGGGATGGCTGACTGGGCTGGGAAAGGGCAGGGTTCAGGATCGGAAAAGACAAGGAACGGGGATCAGCACTAGGCATAACCATGGGCATTGTGACCTGCCCAATGGAGAAGGGCATCCGAGGAGTCAGAGAGGGGCTGGGTTGGAACACCTGAAGCATGAAGTCTGTCTGCAGAGGGGAAGAGGTAAAGGACAAGAGAGAAAGAAAGCAAAGAAAGTTTAGAAAACTGGAGCAGAAATCAATGAGCAAATCTTGCACCGAACAGTCTGGCCCAGTTTCTGGCCCCAGGATCTTCATGAAAAGAACAAGCAGAAGACCCTGGCACTGCCACCGGCACAGAAGCCACAGTCACCAAGGCTTCTTCCTCACCTCTGATGGGGGTGGAGGCAAAGTGGGAGTGGGGATCTGAGGAAGGCTGCTCAGCTTGGCTCCGTTCCTCACTAGCTGGATATGATTATTGAACTGGTCCTAGAGAAGAAGGGAAGAAAGCGTTAGTCTTTCTGCTGCGGAGCTGAGTGGGCCTCTAGCAAAGAAAACCCACTGAGAAGACAGGCCAAAGTGGCAGGGGGCTACCTCCCTATTGCCAGATGCGTTTACACACAGATTAGTACTGACTGAACGATCACCTACTAACCACACTTACCCGGACATTCTTTTTCATTATCCGAACTCCATTTAGTCTTGACTCCCACTCCTGTTTAGAACGAACTGTCTCCAGTGTTGGGGGAGTTGACCTTTCAAAAAATCAACAGGAATTTAAAAAGCCCACTTTCAGGGACCGTGGGTGGTGTAATGGATATGGCACTGGACTCCCACATGGCCAACTGCAGTTTGAGTCCCAAACTAGTGGCTTGAAACTCACACCAGCCACATGTGCGTGCGTGCCCAAAATCCCAGGAGGAGAACAGAGGAGAAGGGACTGTGGTGTAGCCATCTCTCCTGGGGGGTGATTTCAAACTCCCTCTCACTCCCGGTGAATGCACATGCCCTATGGCAAAAACCTTGGTGGTGTTGGTTGGGGGGGAGGGAGCCCACTTTCTTATTCTCTGAAAAGAGTAGCTGAGAGGCCTTAAGGAAATAGGCAGGAGCAGGTGCTAGAGAGGCCTGAGAGTCTAAGGTCTTTGCCCTCACTTTAGCCCCATCGTCTTAAGCCAAGGAGTCCAAAGACAGCCAACTGCAGAGAGAGGGTCCTTCTCTCTCAGCAGGGCTCCTCTAATTCCATGGCAGAGAGAAGAAAAATGACTATATAAAAAGCAAATTTCCAAAGATCTTTGTTTTGCTTTGACAGCTTTACAGGCACTGTTTATCCAAATGGAAATAATACAGTAACATGTGCAAAACTGCACCACTGCAGACAGGAAGAGTGAGGGAGTTTAGAACGTGGGAAGAGAACTCCCTGGGCCATGATGATGACCCAGGCAGAGATGGCCTTTAAAAGTCCTGTGTACACAGAGTAAGGAAGATACTGGCCTAGGGTTTCAAAAACCAACCGACCAGCCGTTAAGCCCCTAGAATGGGAAGGTACTTACTTGAGGTAAGTAAGATGCAGCTCTGCCTCCTTTTCTGCTTCTTCTAGCTTTAATACCAGCAATTCCTTCCGGCTCTCTAGTGATAAGATCTAAGGAAACCACACACACACACACACACACATATGCAAATAATTTATTAACTTTATGTACACAAAACCTCTAGACTACTCAAACATATGCCTACTGGATCTTCTAATACCACACTTATCTTCTAATACCACACCAAAAGTATAATGATGTGGAAGCCCCACGTCAAGGCTTTCAAGATGCTGTCTGCCCACCTCTGCCTTCCAGGCCCGTTCTGTCTCTTCCATGATGTTCCGATTTATTTCACCATCCTGATTCTTGAGTCTGTCCAGTTCCATTTCCCACACTTCTCTGTAAGATAGCAAAGGAGGAACAAGGCTAAGGGTTGCAACATAAGCCTACTGAGGGACACCAAAGCAAAAGTAAAACCCAAGACAGGCCTGCCAGGTAGTCTACAGGAAGTCTTACTCTTAACTAGGAACGGTAGATACAGACAAGTGCAGTCATGTGCTGCTTAATGTCAGAGACAGGTTCTGAGAAAGGCGTGGTTAGGTGATTCTGTCATTGTGCAAACATCACAGAGCACACTTACGCAGACCTAACTGGTACTGCCTACTAGCCACCAAGGCTGCACATCAAGTCATCGGGAAAGCCAGGATGTGTTTTTTTCTATGCAAAAAATGCATCACAACTTTCCAGACAACCCAATAGGATAATATTATGGGACCACTATCATATATGTGGTCCATTATTGATGAAAACATTGTTATATGAAGCATGACTATACTGTTTAAAATGGTATGCCAACCGGGGGTATGGTAGTTAAAGATGCTTGACTCCCACATGGCCGACCACAGTTCAAGTCCCAGACCTGGTGACAGGCCTGTGTGCATATGTGTCCAAAATTGTAGGAAGAGAATGGAGAAGAGATTATGGCATGGCCATCCCTGCTAGGAGGTGGCTTCTCACTTTCCCTCTCTCTGACTCTTTCCAGTGATCACATAAAATGAAGGAAGGAAGAAAGGACTGAAGGAAGGGGTCTGCACTTGCAGAAAAGTCTTACATTTGAAAGAAAAAATGGTCACCTCTCTACTTGCTTAAATAAATTACCTAGAGCAGGAAAAAGAATGTATCTCAGAACCAAAACCCTCCACCAAAGGCAGAACGTTCCATGTTCAAGGGAGCTCAATCATGCCCTCTTCCCATTTCCAACTTGATTTTAGTAGGGGCGCAGATACAGGGGTCCACTCAACAGGCACCTCAATGCAGTAATCACCTCGTCACTACTGTGCCCACAGGTGCTGGCTTACTGAGTCTCGCACTTTCTTAGATACAGTAAACACTCTTCAAAAGGAAAAATGTTCTCGTCCCACCTCATGGCTTCTCATTTTCATCAGTTCCTGCCCTTTTTACAATCCCTCACCCCCACACCCCAACCCCATTCCCATTCTTAGAGCGTATTATTCATTATAGATTAGGGTAACTAAATGCCCTGGTTTGCCCAGTACAGAGGGATTCCCACGGATGCATGCGACTTTCAGTGCTAAAACTAGGACAGCTGATGGCACTACTCAGAACTGAGGAGGCCATTAAAGGAGAGAGCCAGCAAAAGACTCTCCTTAGATTACTCTTGACTGTAGTAAGTTTTACGGCTGAAAGCACAGATTATCCAGATCAGCGGACAGAACAGCCTGAAAATATTTCAATTATTTTTACTAGCTTTTATAAAGCTAAAAATAAGCTTGAGAAGGGTTACATCTTAAGAAAATTACTCCTACTTCTTTTCAGCGACAGACACAATTTTAATCCCCTTCTAATTTTTAGTAACCTCACATACATGAAAGGGAGCGACTCTCGCAACAGAAGTTACTAAGGTCCCTTCCTTTCACATACTCTTGGTTTTTATCCAGTTCTCCACACATCCTTACTACTTCACAGACACACGAGGCAAGAGACAACCTCTGACATAATGTGTGTCACACACACATTCCTCACTGACATTAAGTCTGCCCTCTACTGACGAGGTAGGCCTTTTCATTTAGCAGGAAGGAGTCAGTGGCCATATTTCCCCCCCTGATTTTCATGTATTGCCCTCCCAAAATTAACATCCTCCCAGAGAGAGAACACCGTAATAGTTTAGACAAAAGTTTATAGCTAGCTGTGTTTTCCTGCTACAACATATATTACTCAAATTCCAAAATTTGTAAGAAGTCAAAAACCTCTCACCCTAAGGTCAAATGTATTGCAGTATTAATCAATAATGCTTATGACTTACTGTTCAGTTGTAGGAAAACTGACAGTTGCCTTCTGTAATTGAAGACTATAAATATCCATTAAATACAAGTGCCGACCACAAGTATACACTTACATTAGAAAATCCTCTTATACCAATGGGGACATCCCACATGTTCACACACAAAACAACTTTGCCTTTGGTCATTTGGCCACAATGACCACACTGGGATCCAACAAGACAAAAGGAACTATTAACGACCACAACAGAAATGGACAAAGGTCTCGTAAAACAGTTATTAAAAACAACTCAGCCTTGTCATGTGCTAACATGCATGTGACTTGCATCAGGTTTCACTTCACTAAGAGGCACAGCTGCAACGCATGTTAAAAGAAGGAAAGAGGGACCAGCAGTTAGTGTAATGGCTATGTCGCTGGACTCCCATGTAGTCGACCGCGGTTCAAGTCCTGGACCTGGCAGCTTAAACTCACGCCGGGCCCGTGTGCGTGCGTGCCCAAGATCCCAAGAGGAGAATAGAGGAGAAGGGACTGTGGCGTGGCCATACCCCATGGGGGGTGATTTCTCGCTTTCTACCTCTCTGTCTCTCTCTGTCTTTCTGGCGAGTGCACGCGCCCTATAGCGAAAACCTCTCCAAAAAAAAAAAAAAAGAAGAAGGAAACAAAGAAGAGAAAGGAAGAAATAGAATGGAAATCACTGCATATATTTTAATTTTAGGCCTCATTTATTTCAAGTCCCATGTCTCTGCTATTTTGCAAAGCTAGTTTAGACACTTGGATCAAATGAATGAATAAATCCTACCAGATTGTATGATGCTGGTTGATTATAGATCCCAATAGGACCGCACGATATTTAAAATAAATTTTGCTTTTGATCATATAAATTGTACAAAAATTATTATAGAAAACACAAGACAGCTCAAGTCTAGTGGTACAACTGGTAGTGAACTGAACGGTAGCACTGAAAGTCACATGGCTGGCCACAGGTTTGGATTCCTGGGCCAGCTCGGAACAGGCTGGGTCCAAGATCCTGAAAAGCTGGAGGGCTGGGGAAAGGGGATTGTGGCATGATGAGACCCTGCCAAGGATGCTTCCCCCCCTCCTCTTATATGTACACATATGTTCTCTATCATGAATAAGATAAGTAAATTTAGAAAAAGAATAAAAAACCTATTCCTTTACTGGGAATCCCTTCCATTAAGAAAAAAAATACACTGGGGGACCAGCAGGTGGCATGGTAGTTAAGGTGTTGGATACTCCCACATGGCTGACCATGGTTTAAGTCCTGGACCTGGCGGCTTGCTTTCTCACTTCCCCTCTTTCTCTCTCTCTCTCTGTCAAATTAAAAATAAATGAATGAATAAGTAAAATTTAATAAATAATTTAAAAAATACATCAGGTTGTCATAAAAGTCATGATACATTTTTGCATAGAAAATATATGTAATGACTTTTCTGACAACCCAATAAAACAGAGTACCATACTAAATTGCAAACTTCTACTTATTGGTCGTATGATCCTAGATAAGTTACTTAGTATTTCTAGGCTTGCTTCTTCATCTAAAAAATGAATACTACCTACACTACGAGGTTGATAGGAGTGTTAACTGAGAAAACATGAGTAAAGAATTTGGCACCAGGACTAGCAGGTGGTGTGGTGACTCAGGCACTGGGTCCCAGATGGCCGGTTTCATGGTTCGAGTCCCTGTGCCCTGTGGCTTGAGTAACACACTGGGTGTGTGTGGATACGTGCCAAAATGCTGAGAGGAAAATGGAGAAGGGACTGTGGTGTGGCCATCTGCCCCTCATGGGGCGATTTCTCACTTTCCCTCTATCTCTGCCTATCTCTCAGTCCTCAGCAAGTGCACACAACCTGCAACAAAAATGTAAAAAAAAAAAAATGAATTTGGTGCCTATTGCACAGGAACTACACAAAAAATGTTCATTTCTCAAGTGGTTTTTTTATGTTTTTTTTTTTTAATGAGAGATTTTTGCAGGATGAGCAATTAGCGTAATGGCTATGTTGCTGGACTCCCATGTAGTCAACCATGGTTCGAGTCCTGGACCCAGTGACTTAAACTCACACCAGGAGTGTGTGCGTGCGTGCCCAAGATCCTGAGAGAATGGAATAGGAGGGATTGTGGCATGGCTTTCTGTCTCTGTCTGTCTGGCGAGTGCACGCGCCCTATAGCAAAAAACTTCTCAAAAAAAAATTTTTTTTTTGCTATAGGGCACGTGTGCTCGCTGGAGAGACAGAAAGCAAGAAATCAACCCCGGGGGGTGGATGGCTACGCCGCAATCCCTTCTTCTCCATTCTCCTCTAAGGATCTTGGGCACACACACACACATGCCCAGTTTTTTTTTTTTTTTTTCTTATAGACCACAGATTAGTTTATTTTCAACACCCATCATGCCATTAATTCATAGGGAATAGGTTGCAGTAGCTCAGGCTCCTTTCCATTGGTTCTCACAAAGTGTGCTTCTCTGGGTGGAGCAGGCTGGCACTTTAGTTGAACCTAGGTCCCTTTCTCTTTGGCTTCTTTCTTTTTCTGGTCATTTTCCTTCACACGTTTTAGGAAGCTATCTCTGCCTGCCCAGTTTTAATTTACCAGATATGGGATTGGAACCACAGTTGACTACGTGGGAGTCCAGTGACATAGCATTAAGCCATCTGCTAGTCCCTTTAAGATATTTCTTAAAACATCTCAATTGCAGGCCAGCACACGGCATGTAGTTAAGGTGGCTGGATCCCACATGGTCAACTGCACTGATTTCAGCACTTGGAAAACATGCTGGATGGGGAACCAGCAGTTAGCGTAATGGCTATGTCGCTGGGCTCCCACGTAGTCGACCGTGGTTCACGTCCCGGACCCGGTGGCTTAAAACTCAAGCCAGGCGCGTGTGCGTGCGTGCCCAAGATCCTGAGAGGAGAATGGAAGAGAAGGGATTGCGGCGTGACCATCCTCCCTGGGGGGTGATTTCTTGCTTTCTGTCTCTATGTTTCTCTCTGTCTGTCTGGCAAGCGCACACGCCCTATAGCGAAAAACCTCTCCCCCCACAAAAAAAAGAAAAGAAAAGATGCTGGATGTAAGTGCGAATGTG